TGTGGTGGAGTGTGGTGGAGGGAGGGTGCGTAATGACGTCACTCATTAACACACGTCATAATTATATGCAATGACGTCACGCGGGCGAGCTTAAACACGATCGGGCGAAACTTGCTGACTACGCATTTTTTAACGTTCCCCCACGTGTGTGATACAATAGGCTTATTATTGGCTTGCTCTGAATAGCTCGAGTCCCTCGCATGGCAAAATTGTTATCGAAATTAATATATAGCAGTTATAGCCGTATCTTTGCTAGGAATAGATAAATTTCCACGAGTATATTGAAGGACTTTTCGTATATTCCATATCGAGGAATCTATTCGTCACAAAAATCAAGACATATTTTAAACTAAACAGTTCCTAATCCCGAGTTGTCAACGTCGTTGTTATGGTCAATATTTGCATGTTGTTCAAGATTATTTAGCAATCCTCCTACATACATATATACTGTTAAGATGATCATAAGAAAACTTATCAAGAGTAGAAGTTAGAATTAGAACAGTTGTAATATTTTTTGACACTATCGTCTGTTATTTGTATCAATAAACATGTTTTATACTTTGCAAATGTTGCGTTGTTATGCGTTGCTAAGTCATTAGGAGGCGTGTAGGTAATTAAGGGGATTAAGGCAATACGAATTTGCATAACTAAGTGTATCCCGATGGATAGATAGGGATTATTTTTAACGCAGGTGTATACCTTAAAATCAGGCGCGTGGCTTTGCGGGTGCATGCATATATTAAAGTACAACATATTTGTACACTAATCAGGCGGGCGGATCGCGCGGGCGGAAAGAGCGGGCTTTGCCGGCAAAAATTACACAATATTTCAGTTTTTAAACACATTTATTTCTTCAAAACGTTATACAAAATTTAGTACGGTCTACTTCTAAGAGCGTAACGTCTAGGTGTTTTTGTTATTTTTAAAGAGTTCTCATATTCTTGTCTATCTTCTGGGGATAACTTTGCAAGTTTTTCCGGCTTCATTGGAATATACTTCGGTCTATCGCTCAATATAAAACGTTCATAATCCTCTCTTGCTTCCGGAGTCATTCGCGCTAGGTCACGTTCGGTCCAATCTGCTGGGTCAACCCAATTGTGAAAAAAATTGCGCTTGAGTTTTGGCCGTTCCTCTTCTGTTGGTGGTGGTGTAAGGAAATTAGGTTTAGGCGTAGCAGGCACTGGTGGTACTATCTCAGCAAATTCATTGGGTGGTGGTATTTCTGCAGGCACTAGTGGAGTGGTCTGAACAGGAGCTTGAGCTTGGACATCCATCTTATTTTTGAATGTGAGAAACCGATTTAGTTGATCCGATTATAATTTGCTTTTTTCCACTGCGCTAAGCTGTGGTGCATCCATGATTTCTTTCATTCGCTGCTCGGCATCATACATGGCATTTACAAGTGGTGGTTGTCGATACGACTGTTTTTGTATAAACTTTTCAATCTCACCGGGAAGTATGTTGGTCTTGAGTCGTTGTTGATCATCTGTTGTTGGCTTTAAATCCAACATCAAATACCCGTGAGGTCGGCTCGTAGCATCTTCATAACTCCTCATAAATTCTTGTACTTTTCCGGGATTTATTTGCCTTGCAAGCATAGAAATTTGTTGTTTATCTCTTGGTGACTTGAACAACACGATATAATGGGCGTTTAGGCTAATATTTCTCATTTCTTTGCCTTGATGAAATATATTTTGAACAATATAGATGATAGATAAATTCCGATGATGACTTCCTTTCGTAAAAAGATCAGAAATACGTTTATCTTTGCCAGATTGAGCCATAAGGTCGTCCAATACGATCAAATTCCGTTGCGATACGTCCAAGTAATCTGCGTTGTCGATGTCTTCGGGGATGCCTTGATTAAACTCGATTCCAGGCATCGTTCTCATCATATCAAAATAGGAGGGTTGCCATTGACCATAACACCAAATGATACGTTGAGGAGCAGGACTTATAGTTTTCTGTGCATTCTCCAAGAGAGATTTTACCCATACAGTTTTGCCGCTTTGGGTACACCCAGCTACGATGCACGTAAATGGGTGTTGCAAAACTACAGATCCATTAGTCGTCATGCGAATGTTGTCGGTTGGTTTTTGATCATGCACTTTTTGTTTGTGTCGATTTAAATTGAACGGTTTAGAGAAATATTTCCCACAGATATGACACGAATGAGACATGTTTACTCTATGACGAATAGTTAGATAATAAATCTCTCAAATAGAAACCGAGTTTATATAACTAGTATCTCGTAGCCAACTCCCTAGTCTCGGACCCAAGCTCCTTAGGCTCGGAGCTCCTTAGGCTCGGAGCCAGCTCCTTAGGCTTGGAGCTAGCTCCTTAGGCTTGGAGCTAGCTCCTTAGGCTCGGAGCCGAGCTCCTTAGGCTCGGAGGCAGCTCCTTAGGCTCGGAGCCAGCTCCTTAGGCTCGGAGCCAGCTCCTTAGGCTCGGAGCCAGCTCCTTAGGCTCGGAGCCAGCTCTTTTGGCTCGGAGCCAGCTCTTTAGGCTCTGAGCCAGCTCCTTAGGTTCAGAGCAGCTCCTTGGGCTCGGAGCCAGCTCCAAGCCCAAGGAGCCGAGCACCTTAGGCTCGGAGCCGAGCTCTTTAGGCTCGGAGCCGAGCTCTTTAGGCTCGGAGCCGAGCTCTTTAGGCTCGGGCCCGAGCTCTTTAGGCTCGGAGCCAGCTCCTTAGGCTCGGAGCCAGCTCCTTAGGCTCGGAGCCGAGCTCCTTAGGCTCGGAGCCGAGCTCCTCAGGCTCGGAGCCAGCTCCTTAGGCTCGGAGCCGAACTCCTTAGGCTCGGAGCCAGCTCCTTAGGCTCGGAGCCGAGCTCCTTAGGCTCGGAGACTAGTCTAAATTGCTTTTCACCTGCTTTTTCTTCCTATATAAGCCTCCTTATTGTTGTTTTTTACTCATTTGCTTCCAAGCCGTCGAACAGAAGTGATCAATCTTCTCAGAATTGCTGGGCACGTCTGAGCCTGATCAACAACAAGCACTACTGGAAACAGCAACCGCCGAGCAAGTGCACTGCCTGTGTCTCTGTGTAGAAAACGTTATGAAAATAAAATATTTAATGCCGAAGCATGTAATGAAGAAACTCCGAAGCGAGACTTTTTTTATTCATTGGTTTACGGATTCGCCGACCGTAAATATTCAGAAAGTGAAAAATAAAAAAAAATTTGGATGTCAACAATTTTAGTTAATTTTAGTTAATTTGGGGTTCTGACATGAAGTACACGCCAAGTAAACTTTGACTCTAAGTACTACCGGCTGTCCGGCTCATGTTACCGTTGTGACAATCTTGAAAAACAATGTTTTTTTTAATTTTTTCTACCGACCTGGGTTTTTTTTTCAAGTAAAATCCGTAAACCAATAAATAAAAAAAGTCCCGCCCGACCTTACAAACATGAAATGCTAAGGTTGGCAGATAGAGGAAAATGTGGAAGAAGAAAAAAACGGATACTAATTCAGCATGGTGAAGGTTTCCTTGGACTATTACTAAGTCCTATTTTGGAAAGCCTGGCTGAACTTGTATAAAAGCCCTGTGACTACAATTTATACATTATTTCAACAATGAACATCGAGAGTAAAACATCTCCGCGACATTGGCGCATTGAAGATATACTTTTGTATCTGAACAATAATGTCAAAAAAGCTACAGCAGAAAAATTCTACATTCTATTCTTATATCAAGCGATATTTTAACTTGGAATCCTCAGGGGGAGATTGTTTATCATGGAAGAGACATTCCTTGTACTAACATCGAGAACCTTTTACAATACGTACTTTTACCATACAACTCTCACATTCCTGAACCACGAGGGTTCGACCTGTTTACAAAAGGCCTAGTAGAAGCAGGGATTAATAAAGATTTAATTAAAAATGAGTATTTATTGTCAAAAATGGCAAAGGAGGAATATGAAATGCCGCAATCTGAGAGTGATGTTGAAAGCGAATCTGGTGAAGAGGACAGGAAATCTGATAAGAGTGATAATGAAAGCGTATATGATGATGATGATAATGAGGATGATGGTGAATCTGATGAGTCAGAGAAACTAGCTTGTAACCATTGTGGAAAAGAGACTGATCACATTGTATACTTAATGAAGTCTGTAGCGAATTCACCGTTGGCGATGGACGTGTGTACAGCGAGCTCCGATAATGAACTCAGCAATGGCTGCGATATTGAAGCAAAACATAAGAATAATGCAGTAAACTATCTTATAGTAAACGAAAAGGGCAAATTTAAATGGATTGGTTCCTTCGAAGAACTTAAAATATTAATGAACGAGCTCACAGAGAAGGATTTAAAATGGACATCGCCGGGTGGCCATTGTAAATTGTTAGAATTAGACGAAGCCGAAATCAGATGGTATTCGAACAATAAATCACTCACTATTAGCGGAAAAGCAAGCGACGATATTAAGTCTCAACTACGGATTCTTGCTGACTTATCTCGGGCTGATACTGAAGCAACCGATGAAGGAAACGACAACGGTAAAGACGCCGTGATCGATAATACTAATGGCGAAGAACCAGGGGGAGCAAACAACAATGTTAAAGACGACGTGGTCGATAGCAATATGACAAACGACAGATTCAGAGAAACATTGAATTCTACCGTGCGAGAGCTTGAAGTGAGACTAGAGCGTAAGATCAACGAGCTTGCTAGCGAAATAAACGAGACAAGAATAGATTTGTACAACGAAAAAATGATCAGAGGCGAAAACGAAGTTCGGAACAAATCTATAAACAATGAACAGTCATCGAATTTGAAAGGATTTCTCGCAAAACAGAACGACAGTCTAAAGAAAGAAAATGATCAACTTAAAGAACAAATTAATAACTATAAGTGTATCACGTCTGATCTCAACCAAAAAGTGAAAGACTTAGATAACGAAAGAAGCAGCTTAATCACGGTTATTAAAATTTTACAAAGCGAGCAAGAACAACACAAAACTGAGGCATTGTCATCGTGGAATGTCGTAAACAGACACAAGAAAAGCACTAAAAGCCGAAACGCCTTAGAACAAAATCCCAGTGGAAAACATCAACGACAGGATTTGCAATTACAAAATCAATTCATTGATCTGAGTGATTGCGAAAGCGACGGCAACGAAAGCAACACAGATATATCAGCCAAACATGGAGACAAGCCAAGGCAAAGCGGAGACAAACCAAACCAACGCCGAAGCGGGCAAAATAGTCGAAAGATCGAAAGACGCCAGCAATCCAAAGGAAACATACAAGATCGTCAATCAAATTTGGACGAAAGGAAAGATAAAAGCGAACCCAAAGCGACAAAACAAAGGCAACCTAACATTGTAATCTTAGGGGATTCAATGTTAAAACATTTGAATCCCCGACGAATTCAGCAAGGAATTGACCAAAAGATATCAATAAAAACCTTTCCTGGAGCTGGTGTTGACGAAATGACCCACTATGTTAAACCGACGCTCCAAAAGAAACCAAAGCATATTATCCTGCACATAGGTACCAATGACCTGCAAACGAAATCGCCAGATGCGTTAATTAAAGCTGTAACAAAACTTGGAGAGGCTATAACGCAAGAAATAAGTGGTATCGAGCTTACGCTGTCGGAAGTCATCACAAGAACGGACGATTTGCAACTTGCTGATAAGGTAAACATTTACAATAATAAATTAGACAATCTATGTACTGAACGCAATTGGGGATTTATTACACATAAAAGTATCACTAAGACTCATTTAAATAGCTATGGTTTGCACTTAAACCAAAGAGGAACAACTGCACTGGCAAGAAACATAAAACAGTTTTTAAAAAATCAATCCTTAAATTGAAATCAAGCCGCGGTCAAGAATACTGATAGTAATAAGCATACTGATCGATTAAAGGGATTCAAGATCGCTCATTTAAATGTACGAAGCTTAATCAAGCATATCGATGAACTAAGGCTGTATCTTTATAAACAACAATTTGAAATAATTAGCGTTAACGAAACCATGCTTGACCTGTCTGTCTCAAATCAAGAGATCAAAATTAATGGTTATGATATTGTGAGAAAAGACAGGAATAGGCATGGTGGTGGAGTCGCAATATACATAAGAACCTCAATAAACTTCATAATAAGAGACGATTTAACTGACGATAATCTCGAAACAATTACACTTGAAATTTCAAAACCAAAATCCAAACCATTCTTAATTAATAGTTGGTATAAACCACCCAATACAACACTTGAAATATTCAATGCATTCGAGGATTTAATTACTCGAATGGACTCTGAAAACAAGGAAATCATTTTACTTGGAGATTACAACTGCGATTGGTCTCGCTTGGATAGTAACAGCGCTAACGCTCAGACAAACAAGCTTGCTGGAATTGCACAGACATTCCAATTTCAACAATTAATTAGTGATCCAACGCGAATTACAGCTAATAGTAAAACCTTAATAGATCTAGCATTCACCAATAAACCGGAATTGATAAATGGCTCGGGTGTCATTCATCTGGGGATAAGTGATCACAGCTTAATCTATATACAGAGAAAAATTTCCGTTCCACGTAAAGAGCCAAAAGTGATTAAATCAAGAAATTTCAAACACTACAACTCAAACAACTTTAAATCAGACCTTTCCACATACTTATATGATCAAGTATTCTGTGATACAATGCTTGATCCAAATATTATGTGGGAAAATTGGAAAACAATATTTCTGTCGGTTGCAGATTTTCATGCACCAGAAAGAACAAAAAAAGTTAGAAGCGAGTACGCGCCATGGATTACAGAAAATATTAAACAAACTATGCGTCGAAGAGACTTTTTAAAGAAAAAAGCAGTTAAGACAGGATCAAAACATTTCCATGATGCTTATAAACGCACACGAAATGATTTGAATAGATTAATTAAGAATACAAAAGCAATTTACTTTACAAATACTTTAAATGACTGTGATAACAACCCAAAGAAAATGTGGAAAACAATTAATAAACTTACAAACAAACAGTCAAAAACAACTGTTATATCTGAAATCCGGAACGATAATCAAAATTTGACTAAAAAACACGAAATTGCAGATGCTTTAAATTCACATTTCAACGAAGTTTCATCTCGTTTGGCTAACAACATGCCACAGAGCTCAAGGACATTTGAGTCATACGTGACTAGGTCCGATACACAATTTACGATACAAAATGTTTCATTAACTAAGGTATATAAGTTGCTCTCTACAATTAAAACATCCAAATCAGCAGGGCATGATAGAATACCCGGTAAACTTCTAAGAGACGCTGCTGAAGTAATCGCACCATCCCTGTCAGCAATCTTTAACGCATCTATAAACACTGGTATATTTCCTGAAGACTTCAAGATTGCTATCATTTCTCCAATTCATAAGGCTGGAAGCAAATCTAATTGCGATAATTATAGACCAATCTCGGTTCTATCCTCAGTTGCTAAAATATATGAGAAATTAGTTACAGAGCAACTAGAAATTTATCTTGAAACTAATCACATTCTTGCAGAACAACAAGCAGGATTTAGGAAAAATCACTCTACACAAACTTCTCTACTTAACATCACGAACCAATGGCTAATGAATATGGATAAAGGTTTGTTAAATGGAGTGATTTTTTTGGATCTCAAGAAAGCGTTTGACTGTGTTGATCATAATATATTGTTAAAAAAAATGCATTGTTATGGAATAAGAGGTCATACGCTTGCTTGGTTCCAGTCCTATCTTTCTAGCAGGATTCAAATATGTAAGGTAGATCAAACAATGTCCACGACAAGAACAGTTAAATGTGGAATACCCCAAGGTTCTAATCTTGGGCCACTTCTTTTCTTATTATATATAAACGACCTGCCAAACTGCCTGACCTCATCTTCAGCAAGCATGTTTGCCGATGACACAAATGTTTCAACCAATGGCAA